AAACTTCTGAGTCCTTAACCCACTAGAATGGGAGAAGACTGCTTCCACCATCACTGAGCTCCTTCCTCCCAAAATTTTAACTAAAATTTGATCATCTTACATGATGCCCAGGAAATAATCTCTCTGATCTCCAACCTAATCTGATCACTCTAGCCATCCTTATTGGCCAAGGCCTTGGTGGTTCTCCAAGGCCTCCAGTTGGCACTCAGGCATTCCCCTGCCTCAAATGGAGCAGAGGAACCCTTGGTAAGACCAGGAACCCCAGGCCTAAAGGGTCCCAGGAGACCTTTTCTTTGAGGTCAGAGAGCAATGCACAGCTCCTCTTGCAAATGGGGCCAACAGCCCAGTCTCTCTTGCCCAGGTTGAGGGTTCTCTTTACAAGGGCCATCCTGTCCCTCTCTCTTCTGCTTCTCCAAGCTTATTTCCTCAAACTTGATCCTATCCCAAAGGTTTCTGACCTTTCGAAATAAACGACACAAAAAATCCCAGGCCTACTCTGCATTCTTCCCTGACTTCCCCCAGGCACTGACACACAGAATTTACTGTCAGCTTAAATGGATGGACTGGAAAGGGAAAGATGAAGGATAGAAAAGCAATGTCATAAATATCTCAAATATTCAGCTACATGAGTACGTGACCTGGTGCATACAATTAAGTCAACTGTGAGCCCTACAGGTTATTCCACAAAATCAGCTTAAAGGGAAGTAAGAACAGTTGTTTATTCCTCTAAACTGCAATACAGAAAGGAAATACTCATTTAGTAACCCCCTCTCCCCCCCACCACACACACACACACACACACACACACACACCCTTTGGTCAATATCCTCCTATAACAAACAGCTTAAAAGAAAGTAAAGAAAGTGATCTCTTCTAAGAAATGTTTGGGTGTTAAGTTGATCACCAGCCTGAAAGGCATTAGAGCCACTTTAATAAAAGGATGTAGACTCAGTTTTAAGGCACTTTACTTATATAAAATTATACTTTTAATCTAATATAATGGCATTTTCTTTCTTGTGAAGATGATAAGCATTATTGATCTCACATCCTAACACATCTTGGGAGTAGGATGAACCTGGATAGTAAGAGCCTTTTTCTCATCCCACCTAACACAGAGGAAACTTCCTAGAAGGAATTCATTTGGAATGAAAGGGAAGCAATTGACTTCCAGGTAAGGGTGGGCAGGGTGGCAGGATTCTTTAGGATGTATGGTGTGAGTTTCAAGAATAATGGCAATAGGCAACCCATGACAGAGGATGAAATTATGAGGCAAGTTGATTTATTAATTATACACAAACAACAAAGGATTGAAAGCAGCTTTTAGAAACGTTCTCAAGTAGTAGGAAATAGGAACATCAGGGAAATACTTCAACTGCAAGCAGGGCCATCCATAAATCTCTGAAATGAGTTGCAATTTTATTCTTCGTTCTGATCCATTTCCTTTTGCATCCTATGTCCTCACTTACCTTCCAGAAGAAGCCTACACCTCCAGTCTCCAAGAGAAGAGAAAGCACAAGTGGGAATAAATTTTTTACTAAATTTATTGGGGTGACATTGGTCAACATGAATGTATAGGTTTCAGGTGTGTGTTTCTATGTTACAAGATCTGTATCCTGCACCATGTGCCCACCACTCAAAGCCAAATCTTCTCCTGACACCATATATTAGGACCCCCTTCTCCCGGGAATAATATTTTATAGTGATTACAATGATCAGAATTCCTCAGATTCCTTTTGCTGTCATTTTGCTGTGACCTTCTGACAACTCACATGTCAGGCCAGCCATATCTCTGCTGTGATTTGAACATGTAACATGCTACAGATAAATGCTTCAAAATGAAGTGGGACTGCCTACCTTTAAGCTGCGGGGCATAAGCGGTGAGAGCCTAGTTAAAACATATTAATATTTACTCTTTTTGTGCCTTTTGAATGCTTGCAGGCAGACCTCATTTTATTGCGCTTCACAGATGTTGTGTTTTCTACACATTGAAGGGAAGACCCTCCACCAGTGAAAACATTATAACTCACTGAAGGCTCAGATAATGGTTAGAGTTTTTTTAGCAATAAAGTATTTTTAAATTCAAGGATATACATTGTTTCTTAGAGACTATGGTGTAGTGTGAACATAACTTTTATATGCACTGGGAAACCAAAAAATGTGTGTGATTTGCTTTATTGTGGTACTCACTTTGTTGCAGTGGTCTGTAACTGAACCCGTAATATAGCCGAGGTATGTCTGTATATGTTATAATTGATTACATGTTAAAAACCAAACTATGTAAACCAGGGATCATTCATCTAATCGAATATTTATGTGACATTTTATTAGACATAAGGTAATGGCAAAATAGACATGCCTCTAATGCAAAGTCAGCTAACTTCAAGTTATCACAGTTGAGATAAGCCGTATTTCTAAAACAATTTTTAACACTACTCACTTTTTCAGATTAAAAAAAAAAGTAAGAATCAACTTGTACACCTTTCCTTACCCCCAAAATTCAATCCATGGGTCCAGTCCCATAAACTGTAAGCCATGTATACAATTCCAAAGGTTTAAAAGTCCACCGTCTTCTATTGCTCCTGTCATTTTCCCTATTACACCAAGACAAATTATAAAAGGAAAATAATGGTTGCTGTCACTGAGCCACTGTCCAGTCTCTTAGAACCTGGCCTGATACCAACTTCTGTCCCAGACTTCGCTACTTGTTCATGAAATAACCACACTTCATGAGCAACCAAGTTGAATTTCAGTCTATTTTTAAAGACCTTACAATAAAGGCTAATCTCAGATATACATTGTCTGTTTTTCCACAGAGTTCTTCTCCATGAGGCACAGGTCCGCCACGTAATGTTGAAACAGGTACATGTTTCCATAAGGAGAAGTATGTTTTCCTGAAGTCATTAAGTAATTAAACCACAATATGAAGTCATACTTTCTGGTATAAAAGTGTTAACATTCTTGTAAAAGGCACAGATAAGTTACCAGTCATATTAACCAGAAACCTCAAGAATAAAAGATGCCTCTGTAAAATGTTCCAATCTTCCTGTGGCAGGTACTAAACAAAAAGCACCATCTGCTGTGTGTTCAGGAGAATTTCCTGCTACACATACTGAACTATGTCCCTTACCAAAGAGGTGTGAAATACAGCTGCAGGCGAACAGGTTATGATCACAAATTCAAGGATATTTTGAATAACAATATGAGAGAGAGAATACACCCTGCTTATTTTCTTCAGCATTTGGGATGTTACATAGTCTGTTGAATAAGTATCTAAGCATCCTATTGAAGTTACTCTTTAGCAATGAAAGTTCACTTCTCTAATAATTATACATGCAAAGAAACTAATTTTCAAAATATTTCATGTTGTCAAATTACTTTATAATATTAAAAATTGGAAAGGGCCCTAGCTGGTTTAGCTCAATGGTTAGAGCGTTGGCTGCAGACGGAAGGGTCGCATGTTTGATACCGGTCAAGGGCAGGTACCTCGGTTGCAGGTTTAATCCCCAGCCCAGGTCAGGGGCAACCAATCAATGTGTCTCTCTCACATCAATATTTCTCTCTGTGTGTTTCTCCCCCTTCCTCCCTTAAAAATTGGAAAGGGCCCTAGCTGGTTTAGCTCAATGGTTAGAGCGTTGGCTGCAGACGGAAGGGTCGCATGTTTGATACCGGTCAAGGGCAGGTACCTCGGTTGCAGGTTTGATCCCCAGCCCAGGTCAGGGGCAACCAATCAATGTCTCTCTCTCACATCAATATTTCTCTCTCTGTGTTTCTCCCCCTTCCTCCTACTCTCTAAAAATCAGTGGAAAAAATATCGAGTGAAGATTAGCAACAAAAACAAACAGTGGAAAGGCCTTGTAAGGAATGGTTTGGAGCATGGCCCAGATTCCCGCTTCAGGACCAAGGCACTCAATCCCCCAGCTGCTGAGAATATCAGTGTTGATGGCTCACAGCTGAGTCCTCTTCTGCATCTCATCCTCTGACAAGGTTTTGCCTCCTTTCCCTGGGGTATCCCACATTTCATGACTGGTTAATAACAGGGTGCAAAGGCCTGCCTCCTTACGACAATTCAGAATGACTGAGTGGAAATCCCAGCTTCATAGCCCACTATGGTTTTGGCTGAGGCCTCTACTGCAAATTGTTCACAGTTCAATTTCTCTCTCTATCCAACTCTGCTTCCATCACTCCATTACAGATGTTGTTCCCAAGAGCACATCCCAATAATCTTTCTGTACACAAATCTCCCATTTGCGTCTGCTTCCCAAAAAACTCATCCAAAGACAGTTGGTATTGAAAGTGGTCCTGGAAATTAGACTCTAAAATTGGGTTTGGGGGCTGATTCCCTGCCAGCCAGCTGCCAACAGAACACCATGCCTAGTGAGTGGGTACTGATAGCACCTGGCAATGCTGTGGCACTGTGCTTACTAATTTGCATCCACTTATGCCGAAGCTATGTCCCCACCTGCTTACCTGTAATTAAAAAAATAAAACATAGGGCTTTCTGCATTTATTATATTGACTTTTCTCTCGCTATAGTTTGGACAAGACTGCCACCTCCTGGAGACGCTGGTGAACACTGGGGACTGAGGCGCTCTCATCCGCTTGGGGAACCAGTAATAGGAAGTTGTTTGCGTCTCAACGCCAACTGCGTCTCTCTCCTTGAAATTAAACCAATGCCTAACCCCTCACAACTTCTGCGAACAAATTTTTGTATAGAAACAAGACTTCAAAGGACTTGCGCATCACAATGTTTTAACGTGGAAACTTAAACAAAAGCTAACATCTGTAGCTCGCAATATGCCAAGTACGTACTTCCTTAATCCTTACAACAGCCCTATGAGGTGGGAACTATTATAATAAACACCTCCACATTACAGATGAAGAAATTAAGTTTTAAGGGAGTTTAAAGCGACTGGGCATTAAGCGAAAGTGTTGATATCATCACTGGCTAATGAGAACTAAAGGGCTGAGTTAAAGTATTAGGTGTGGGATGTCCTAGAGCGCTGCTGGAAATAGACCGCTAGTCAGGATCAGGATTGTGCGCTTTAATTGCCCTAAGTAGCTCTTTCTGTTTCTGATCTGAGAAACTGCTTTTCTTTGTTTACACCCCTGGATAGTTGGAACTCCAGTGACAGCCTCCAACGCCAGCTCCGTAACTAAGTAACCGCCTCGCTCTACCGGGCATGCGCACAAACCCTGAAGCTATTTGTAGGAGGCCGACGGCGAGCGTCGCGGCGGGGTCCCAGCATTCCTTTCGCGCCACCACCAAGATGGCGGCGCCCATGTTGCGGTGCATTTCTCCGAGCCGGTGGTTTTGCACCCCGGGCCCGTTGGCAGTCTTGCCCCGGGGGCTGCGCGAAGCCCACTCGGGCGATAAGGGGTTGCTGGCGGTGCAGAAGGCTCGGGGTTTGTTCAAGGAGTTCTTCCCCGACAAGGGCACGAAGGTAGAGCTCCCAGAGCTCTTCGACCGTAGCATCGCGGGCAACCGTCCCCAGACCATCTACTGCGGCTTCGACCCCACGGCGGACTCGCTTCATGTGGGGCACCTGCTGACGCTGCTGGGCCTCTTTCACTTCCAGCGAGCCGGCCACAACGTGATCGCCCTCGTGGGAGGCGCCACGGCGCGCCTGGGAGACCCGAGCGGTCGCAC